TCTTCGTAAAAAAGTTTCAGCTTTAAAATTAGCAACGTTTATTGCGATTAATGGTAAACTGATCAAATTTGAATTATGAATAGGTGAAGAATAGATTTAAACCTTTGATTATTATACTGGTGGGATCATTAATTTCTTCGATAGATGTTGAATGGGTCTTATGACACCAACTATTTCTTTTTTCCCAGCAAAAAAAAAAAAAAAAAAAAATTGACAATCATCTATATAGCTAGGTTATTGACCAGCACAAAGAATTGAGCGAAAACCATCAAGCCATGCCATCCTTTATTGATTATTCCGTGCTGCCTAATATATGATTTGTGGATACGTGGTGGCTAGGAAAAGTTTTGGGCCTCAAATTCCCAAACTGAAACATATCTAGCGCGTTTAGAATGCGTTATAAAATAATTTTATTTTTGTTTATAAAAATAAAAATAAAAATATTTTTTAATCTCAGATAGAAATTATTTTTAAAAATGTGTTTAGTAATTTTATCAAGAGATTATTTTCAGTATAAAAAAATTCATTATGTCTTTCTCTACTCGAGAGAGGAGAAAACGAAAATAAAAAATAAAAAACGACTAAAAGTCGTTTTTCATTTCTCTCTCATTTTTCACTTAACTAAAAAATCATTTTTATTTTCATTTTTTGTCTTTATTGTACCAAATGTCTTTTAAAAACGTTTTTATTTTTTATTTCTCAAAAAACATGAAAATAAAAATATGATCAATTCCAAACACAGCCGATCAATTTCTTGTATGTGGTTAGCATATATTAATGGCAATACTTTTTAAGATATTTCCAACTCATGCAAAGATATCAAAATAACCTTGTCTTTTCCAATTGGATGAAATTTATTCTATACCCACAAAAGGAAGAGAACAAAGCTCAACTAAAATCAATTAGATCAAGCATTATTCTAGTTCATGATCCTTATTGTCGGGGAAAATGTCGTTTGATGCTAGCTTTTTTCAAACGTGATTTCTGGGTATCATAATTGAGAAAGCAAATTATTATAAGATGCCTGGACTTTTGTAGTTTCTTATTATATTGGCCCAAAAGTACCCCTATATACGGTCTATAGCAGCCAAAATGATTGACTGCCGGAGTCTACAACATACGGGGTGTTTGACCCTCATTTCACGGGATCAGTTATCTTTTGATTTTAATCGAATATATATATTTTTGTTGTCCTAGTCAAATCCTAGAAGAGGAAATCTAACATGCTCCTTTTGATTTTTTCAAGTTGGGTGGCTCAAAGCTTGCATTGTGTAAACTTTGAGGAATTAGGTATGTTAACCCATTGCGGGAGAATTTATATACTATGTTTTTGTTACATTATTTTTTTTCATAAAATTTAAATTTATGTTCAAAATTTTCTATTTAAACTTATAAATCAAACGAGCCAATAATAATTTTTTATTTTCAAGTTGGGGGAAAGCTTTCAAACCTAGTGTATATAGCAATCATCTAATATGTGATAGCTCCGCATGTGATAATGAACTTGTATTCCATTTTGGAAAGCCAACCTTCACATGAGGAAGAAATAACACATTTGTAATATTAAGTTGTGGAGTCTAATTATTGTCATGTTGATTATTGTCTTACAGAAAGAGATTCAGCGTTTACGATTGCTCTAATTTAAAGATTTCACACTTACAAATTAGAGGTTACATAAAATACAAAATGTTGTGAGGTGTGTGATTTTTCTCTTATAAACTTTTTTTTTTCTATCATAATGGTAACGCAATCTCATATTAAGACAAACATCTATAAATCTTACATTCATTTACTTTTTGCGATTTTATTGTTCTCAATTATCATGTTTATTTATGTCCATGTCGTTATGTCTAGTCAATGTAATATAATTAATTTGTAATATCCAAACAAATTCCTCCTTTATTCCCGTAAAAACTCATTTCCCATGGAAAAGCACAATCATCAAGTTTACTGTGATACAAGATTGTGTAACATCACAATCTAACATAGGACTCATTTTCATCTTATTTTGTTGTACATAAATACATTAGAATTCAACTCACGCGTCCAAATGATAAACTTTAGGTTCAACTCTACGGCATTTGTCAAGTTCCATCTTAAAAGTGTGACTTTATTAAGAGAAGTAGCTCAACCTCTTATAAATATTGTAACCACATGGCTGATATATGGGATTTGTTTTTTGAAAGACCACCATCTTTTTCCCTTTGTTTGGTTTTTTGTCTTGTATTTATATATATATATATATATATATATATATATTAAAAAAAACGATGATTACGGTTAAATACATGGTAGCTTTTTTTTTTTTTTTTTTGGCTTAAAGAAATACATGGTAGCTTAGCATACTTACTGCAGCTGAAAAATAAAAGGATTTTGAGTTTCAATGACATTAATTTTTAATAAATTGACAAGTTGTCTCCTAAACTCTTAATACTAAAAAATTATCCTTAAATTTTAATAAAGTGTTACATATTAAGTGTACTTCTAAAAATTGACCAGAGTTATTAAAATTTAGAATGAAACGTCATCATCACTTGAAATATTGTGCTATGGCACCATCTAAAATTTCATTCTATGCTTTTAAACAAGTTTAAATAACTTGTATGACGATATTTATTAAAATTCTATTTAAATTTTAATAGTCAACTCTCTGTAAAATTTTATTAAATTCAAAAGAATAATTCATCAAAATATTTATAAAAATTCAATATCCTATAGTTCGTACCAAACTATGTCATATAACAATGTCGTGTAGCAATTCGAGTATGGAATATAATGATATATTTTCTACGTCAAAAAGCTTAACCATTTTTTGAGATGGCTCAACTTGCCATACCCGCTTCACTAATCGGTTATTGGAGCTAGTGCAACAACTTGTTTATTATTCCAGCAGCAGCAAAAAAAAAATAAATAAATAAATAAACTTACCGACAAAGCTGTATTTTTTGACCGTCAAGGGTGAAATGGACGCAGAATTGGCAAATTGCATATGATTGAACAGAAAATGACATGCTTCTTCAGAAGTTATCTTAATGAGCTTAATTTTACTAAAATAATATTTGTTTGTCTTTTTTTAATATAAAATGATATTTGTTTTCAGTACGTAAGTTTTGATTAATCGTTGGAATAAATTGTACCTTGAAAAAAAGGTAAGAAATAACGACTTCTGAATGTACATCATTTTCATACAACGAGACAACTTATGCTAAAATAAGTCCTGGCCATTCAGCCAAAAATAAAAAAATAAAATAAAAAATAAAAAACAAGAAAAAAAAAATAAAAAACAAAAAAAAAGTCCTGGATGTGATTACAAAACTATTTTAATAGTAAATCTATACTACTTTTATAACTTTTAATATGCAGATATAAAGTTCAATTCACTTTTCCCAGTGTAATAATAATAATAATAGATAATTATAAGTATTATACAATAGACGGAGACCACAGAAATGAATAAAACCATGTGATCCTATTGACTTTTATTTTCCAATATTATTCTTTTTGCTAATCTTTCCAATATTATTATTAGAAAAGGGATTTTTCCAAATTATATTTGGACAATCTTTTCACCGTCCAAAGTCTCATTGCTTTTCTGTTTTTTCTTTTCTTTTCACAAAAAATGAAATCAGCAGCATCTGAACCCCAGTGAACACACACACTCTCTCATTCACCTGACCACTTAAATCACCAATTTACTTAACCCACATTTGTTTCATCAATTTAGTTTAATTCAACTCACTTCGAACGTTGAATACAACTTGAACTTGTATTTAATAAACATGTAGTCTAAATTATGTTTCTCATCCGAATCGAGTTGTCCAACTGACAATTTAGCTCCCCTTAATGTTCTACTGTTTAAACTATTTTTGCTCATTAAAAAGATGTATATTCTCTCTGCTTTTCACAGCTATCATAAAAAAATTTAGATTTTTTCCCTGGTCAAACTTAACATTCAACCATATGCTAAGTGCCAGTTCGGACTACAATTTAAACTATATAATTTGAATTTTTATGTTCAAATCAACACAAAACATTTTGAACTGTCGAACCAAATAGGGCTTGATTAAAATTAAGAGAAAATTGTTCAACTTACTCTTAAAGTGCATAGGTTTAGATTTTTACCCTTTATTCTTGATTTATGCCTTTTTCATAAGCCCCTGTTTGGTTTATTGGTTAGAATTTTGTTGGTTTAAAAATTTTTATTCAAACAGAAAAATTCAAACTGTGTGGTTTAAATTGTAGTTTGATTGAAATTTAGATGTGTAGTTAAAATTTTAATCTGAACATGAAATAAAATTCAATTTGTGTTTGGTAAATGTGAAAAGCAGGAAGAGTTGATACATTTTTATTTTCAAAAAGGGTTTGAATAGTTAAATTTTAGGGGGATGTTAAGCTCTAAGTTAGACAATTTAACACAGTTCAAAAAGAGAATATAATTTGGATTGAATGCTTACCAAATAAAAATTCAAAATATACTCATAATTCAAACTGAATTAAACGAGTAAAACAAACAAGACTAATATAGTTATTAGGGAAAAAGAGGAAAATAGGCTAAGACTTGAGATGAATTAAAATTACTAGGCTAATAGTTTACATAAGTTAATAAATAGGCCAAATTACTGTTTTCGTCCATAACTTGTCTGGTTATGAACCATAACTTGACAAGTTTGTCCATAACTTATCTGGTTACGAACCATAACTTGACAAGTTATAACCTATTAATTTCTATAACTAAAAATTAACCTATATACTTTTTTAAACTTTTCTTGGCCTATTTCCTACTATTTCCCTAGTTATTATCAGGTATCTGTCTCCGTTAATCAAAGAGATAGAGCGTGTTACCTCTGGGCTTGGGTCCAATAGTTTGGCCAATGATCGGCCTCCTTTGTCTCCTCATTATTAAGCCGAAGTCTAACTCCAAGGCCCAATGACAAATTTTTCTCCAAAGACCATGATTTAGAATTTTCGCCGTCTACTCTATATAATGTAGCCCAAAACTCTCTCTCTCTCTCTCTCTCTCTGCAAAACACCTTAAACCTAGACGAACCTCAATCTCAATGTCGGACAACGAGAGCTATGACTCTGATGCTCCAGAAGAATTTACGGCAGAGCAGGTTTTTATATATTTATTTATTTTTTCTGGGATTCATTTCCGTGTTTATCTAATCAGCTGAAAAATCCAATATTTCAATCGAAAACAAAGAATGATTCGTGTTTTGATTGGTTTTTGGTACAGGGAATACAGCAAGACGAAGTAATAACCAAAGTTCAGAAGGAGAATAAGGCTAGGTACGCTGCCATCTGTTCATTTCACCTTTTGAATTTGTATATATGTAAATATATATATAATATTTCAATCGAAAACAAAGAATGATTCGTGTTTTGATTGGTTTTTGGTACAGGGAATACAGCAAGACGAAGTAATAACCAAAGTTCAGAAGGAGAATAAGGCTAGGTACGCTGCCATCTGTTCATTTCACCTTTTGAATTTGTATATATGTAAATATATAT